TCTTAATTAATTATATTAATATTAATTAGTACACAGTTGACAGAAAAAAATGAATAGTTATAAAATGAGTAGAATGATAGAAAATAAACAGGACGAAATGAGAGCTAATTAAAAAATACGGGACGAACCAATGATATATTGTTTAGAAATATTTAGTTATTGACAAAATCTTGAATAACTTTCATGATTCTTGTTTAACATTTACATTTAAAAATAAAACTGTCCTGTTTGCTTGTTGTATTCCTTCTATTGTAATATATTTGTGTGTCTACAGTAGCCAATCATTCCTAATTACATAGTGATTCGAAACTATAAACAGTGTACAAAGTATATGAGAAGAACAAACTCCCTATTCGAAATTGAGACCACATTTTATTTGTATAAGAAACGAAAGAATATACAGTGAGTCCAAAAATTGATCATACAGATGTAATTTCGATTTTTTCCCGTAATGGTTACTGGTATAAATAATCCAGATAGAAAACAAAAATGTTTTTTTCGTCGTTTCCTATGGGAAAATCTGAAAAATAATCTAGGGACCTTTCGTGAAACTGATGTAATTCAATCAAAAAACGTCGTAGAGAGCTCGGAGACATCTTATTTTGTAAGGACTTAGTTGCTGTATCATCCCATGTGATTAAATCAAACGTTTATTGTTGTGTTCCGGATGATGAAAACTTAGGTTTTTAGTTTTCTGGAGATCCTGGATTTGGGAATATAGGGAGAATTTTATTTTCCTCAAATATTTGTTGCAAATAATTTTCTCTATCCAAATCACTATTTGGATCCTTTATACCAGTTACCATTACGGAAAAAAATCGAAATTACATCTGTATGATTAATTTTTGAAGCCACTATATGCATTCCAAATTGAGACTGCTTTTTATATCTAATTAATAATCATAAAAAGAAGTGATCTCAATCATGAAGCAGCCCTTTTGGCAATCATTTCCGTTGACAAGTGATCAATAGCTTCTCAATGGCACTTTATTTAATTGATTGACTAATGATTATCAAGCAAAGTTTGTAGTGTGAAAACAAACAGTGTACTAGAGTCTCAATTAATGTTCTGAAATAGCTGGCATTATAAGCAATTAGAAATGCTAGAAGAACGAAATTTCATTGTTTCATGAGATTTGTTAACGGAGCTGATGTCCAAAACATGTCTTTGTTTCGAAGCATGGGGGAAAATAAACACTATCCTATGTCACGTATATACCATGGTTCACATTTGTTAATAACTCTTCGATTTGCTAAGCTGTTGGCAATTTGTCAGTTGGAATCAACTTAACGGTCCAACAAAAGTGTTACTTGTTGTCAGATTTCTACAAAAAATGTTTATAAAAAGGAAAAACTTGCCCCTATATTATTATATATTATTATTATTATATATGATATTAAATTGGTCAAAGATGTGGACTTTTACGTCAATTTGAGACTATCGTTTACTGATAGCTTCAAAGAATAACGTGTACAAAATTCTTAAAAATAGTGCAATGTTAACATATACAGCGAAATTGCGAATGTCATATCAAAGTGCGAGGAAATCGATTTTCAGTGTGTAAATGTTACCGTATTTCAACGGTTTTAAGTTTCTTTAATTTGGCTGTAGGACGAAAAATTGCATACAAAAACAATAGTTAACTAATACTACAATGTTTCTGTCTTCTTCCATGATGTAGACCTTTTTGACCCACATTATCTTCTACACGTTCTAGCATTCTACAAACTTCTTTGAACAGCAAAACAAGATGCCAGTTATATTTGGCTGAACATTGTATGGTATTTGCTTTTAACGTCTTTTTAGCAAAATTTGTTATCTCTCGTGAATTTGCCAATGTGACATTTGAATAACGTTGATCTAAATTAATTAAGTCGGCTTTGTTTGCCACAAGGATGATGGGAACAGTTGCTGTTAATGTATCATCGTCAATACTCGAACGACTTAGGCCGTTTCGTACGCTAACTATTTCACGATAAAGTTGTTTTATATAGGAAAATGTTTCCTCACGACTAATATCGAATACCATTAAAAATAAGGCACAACGACGAAAACAATAAAGTTTTACCCCTAAAAAAAGGAAAAAACAGTGTGTGCGCTTTTTGTTTAGTTTCTTTCAACTCACACTCATTTTGTGGATCGGGATCATTTTCGTCAAACCGAGGTGTATCAATAATTCGTATGTGAAACAAACGATCGCCATTGTACAATGCTGTAAAATGGTATGTAGCCATATGAGTTTCATGATACTGAATATGAAAATCATTGAATAACCATTGACGGATAATGGCAGTTTTGCCGACAGATTTGTCACCCAAAACAGCTATCTGTATAGCATCGTTTATATCACACATATTTGTACGGGCATTGGCTTAACGTGTTCAATGGTAGTAACCGACTATGCAAAGAAAAACAAATGAATTTTAGATATGTCCTAAATGGCGTGATTGTGTTGTCTAGATAGGTTTAAAATTAGTCCAAGCAACAGTGAAATGATTGATAAAACATGGATTTCGATAATTAATGATTTCGACGTAGAAAGGACGGGTAACGGTTTCTTACGAAAACTGGCCAAATATAAGTTTTTAATTTTTTTTCGGTAAAATGGAAGAACATGTTCATAGTAATTATAAGTAGCTCGTACTCTTTCTATAAACTCATCTAGGAACTCCTTGGGGCGGTTAGAAAGTTGATCTTTGTACCAACAGCATGCTAATTGTATTTCTTCGATTTTAAAGTGACTGTGGAATATTTTTTTAATGAATTATATACCATTCGGTAGAGAATTAAAAGTACTATCAGAATACATAAAAAATTTTATTAAAAAAACGGTCTAATAGAAAAAGTGTAGAAGAAATACTTCAGAATTAGATGAAAATTTATTGTATTAGTTCTAATGTTTGGAAAATTTCTCATTATGACTTTTAGTCGATCACCGTGATTTTTACATCAAAAGATAGGATCTTTTTCAGCTACAAGAATACATATGGTTTATTGAAAATATAGCCTGCGTTGATACCGAGTTAACGATTAACTGATCATATTTAAAACTCTTCATAATAGCAAATGATTGGAAGAATGTTTTTGTTTTATTAAAAGTCGCTGTTTCAAACTGCAGTTAATAGTAGGGAAACTTTTATAAATCGGTTATAAATCATATTTATTCAAAATAAATACTTCCTTGTTGTGTTTTGAGTTAGACAGTGATTGAGAGTAACGCTTCGCAGGATTTCACCTGTACTCTTTTACTTTTATGGTACATAAAAAAATATTCAATATGATTTTTGTAGCGAATTAAACGGAGAATCATTTACAAAAACGAACAGCTCAAAGGACTTAGTGGATGCAGAGATATAAGCGAAATACTGAGAGGACCATTATTTCTGATTCATCTGTTAAATGGATTTATAATTTAAATTTTAGATTTGACTGGGCAAACGCAAACGCGTCTGATTACAGGTAGTAGCATCGACAGAAGGCGGGCTGGGACGAAGGACGTTGGGTTAGATTGATCTGGAAAAAGCAAACTCAAGACCTGGTACGTCGTTGGAAAACTAGATCGCTAAATCATGTCTTCCTATTCAAACCTGTCCGTCACCGAGCGTGTTTCTGTACTCCTAAGTATGCTTACACATGGACGCAAAGTCAAAATCACACATATATTAGACTTCTGACTGTGAGCTTAGTGTACATAGAAGTTCCAGAGTTAAATCCAGATGTTGTTTAGTAACCTTGACGATGAATGGAGTATAAGTAGTTAGATAATCATTTTTTATGTGCTGAATGTTTCCATCTGCATTTCAAATCAGTGTTTGATCCATTCATATTTGAGGCTACAAAATGCTATGAACGAACAATCTTCTACATTAGAAAAATCTGTCACTCTTCAAGCTCGATGAATGATAGATCTCGGATTTGTGCAGAAGTGCGTAAGTAAAGGTCACGATACCATTATAAACGTTTTTGAAGTGGAAGGCACGTTTCTATCACTATCGATGTGTCTTAGCTTAAAATTTCCGAGTTTGGGTGAGGCAGATTTCAAATTACTCTGAATTTAAGATATGTCTCTAACCTATGCTCATCCACAACCACAAAACCTCCTGGTTGATTTCGTATTTTTACTTCATTTATTTTGATCAAGAATTAATAGTTATTCGCACGCTCTGTCGTCGATAGTTCTTCTCACCTTCACAGTTACACACATAGTTAAGTTAAACACTCACTTGGTACACAGATCATATTCAAATTGTGTCTTACTAAACGGTTGTGATCATTATCAACTTCATGCTCTGAAATACAGGGGAAATGAATGATGAGCGGAGTAACACAGTATAAGTGTTATAGTGAAAAACGAAGAAAAATTAATAAACATTTCTATTTTTTCTCTCTTTATATGTTGATTTACCGTTGGGACTAAGGAAGACGGCGAAAAAAATGATATATATATATCGTCGATAGGCAGAATGGTGAAAAAATAATAATAAAAAAAGATCGTTTCTATTTAAACAACTACAATGTTCATAAAAAAAAGATTTCTCCCCCTCACCCTCCATCATCATTCGATTTTTTATCTTGTTTCCGTTTAGATGTAGGGAAGTGTTATTGTATAGAATAAACTTTATATATTATGTCGTCCTTGAGAAAAACAAAACATAACACAAACAATTTGACTCTTTATTTTATTTTCGGTAGTCAATTTGACAATTTTCTTCTTAGCGATTTCTGCGACTATTTAGAGTCTTTAGACTATTTTGAACAAATATTTTTTTCATATATTATTTTAAATTAAATGCAACTCAATTATCTTTTTAAGAAATAATAGTTTAGAGCTATATAAAAGTAAATATTGTTATTATATTTTGTCTTATTGGCTTTTCTATTTAAATACGTAAAGTATCCGTAAGTATTATACAGATTACTTTCAGGTCTTTAATCTTGTTTTGATGATATCCCTTAATATGCTTTTGCTCTCTTTTTTTCTCGTTTTTCAAATGAAAAAGAATAATGCGTTACATTTTATATATAGAAAAACAATTTTTTATTCTATTTGATATAGTTCTTTCGTTTTGTTTTCTGTTTTTCTAGATATAGATATAGCTGCTCGTTTTGGGAACGACTCAACGCAATTATCTAATATGTGAGAGAAAAAAGAAAAAAATTCAAGGCTATGGAAAGTCACACTTGTTCTTCTCAATGTTCATACATATGTCAAAATAACATTTGATCCCTTTCCGCCATCAATCGTAGAGATTTATTTTTTCAAAACAAAAGAACAAATAAAATATGATTGATAACGACATATCTTTTATAAAAAAAACAAAGAAAATATGAATTATACAAGTTGCATGAAAACCGAAAATTATACTCGACTGGGGACTCTTCTTACCTTTTGTTAATCTCAACTCTTTGATTCTATGCAAGCCTATAGACAATTAGAAAAGTTAGATTCTGATATCTATTCAAATATAGCCTTTTTTTCTGTAAAAAACTGATAGGTTTCATATCGTGTAGAAGTTTTTTTACTATATTGATTTTTGACTTCAGTTTGAATGAAGGTTTAATCGTAAACTATTATCTATTTCTAAAACAATATTAGCTATCTATATAAATACACCGATATAATTGCGTGACGTTTTTAAAGAAAAAAAGAATAGTTAACCAAATTAAAAATAAGCCTCAATTACAACATTTTCTGTCATGCAAAGTGAGACTATAGAATATTAAGAGACAAAAACAAGAACAAGACACTTATAATACAACAAACATTTTTGTTACCATAAAAAAAAGATGATCATGCGTGCATGACAGGAAAAAATAAAAATAAATAGCTAAACAGATACAGATGAAACTAATTTATACTATCTCAGGAACTCAGTGATGCTTCAAAAAATTCAAGACATATGCATATACTGACATATATTTGAATAAAACTATTTCATTAAGTTTTGAATAATCCTAATGAAAAATGAATAAGAAAAAGATCTCTGTTGGATTAACATGTATGTAGGATAATAATAAAGAATTATATAAAATCTCGAAAACAAAGGTGATTGCTCTTCTTCATCTTAATGTCCGCTTGTCTATGTTTTCAAAATTTAGTGGAATATGTATAATAAAGTATAAAAACTAAGCATCGATCACTAAATGATACTCATGGGGAAATTTTAGTATATAAACGGCGTCTACACTCGTGAATATTGTGAAATGAACTATGATCTCACACGTGAACATCGTAATATGGAGTGTGGGCACGTGAAAAAAATATATTCTACTTATGACAGCGCGTGAACTGCTCACGGAAGCTTTTCTCGCCATATTTTTCCCACTAGTAAAAATCATAAAACGGTGTGTAGACACACGTGAAACGAAATTTCCGCTTGTGAATACATGTGAAATTATAGAAAGTTCACACGTCACCACACATTTGATGTTTCAACTGCACGATCCCAACATCGTGAAACTATCTACGCACTCACTTTTTTCACTTTGAAAAACTCAACCCTATCATCGAGTCATGGTGTATAATCTCATTTTCTCTATAATCATGATAATGAGTATAGATTTATGCAAATGCTAATGACAAAATTGATACTACTTTTTTTCTCGACAGAAGTTATAGATCAAGAAAAAAAGTTGCAAGCTAGAAAAATAATACTTCTATTTCCTTATTCATTAGCTTCTAGGTAATATAAAAGAAAAAGAAAAATGAAACGTAGTTTTTTAAATTAAACTTGATTATACGAATGAGATCATCTCTTTTCTTCTCTATTTCTATTCCCATTTCGTTATTTTGTGACGGTACAAGAAAGAAGTAAAAGAACAAAATTTTGAAATAAAAAGCTATTACAAACAAATCAGATTTGTTCTTACAATGACACTTTAGATTTGTATTCGGATTGTCATCTTTTTTGCCTTTATATTTGTATCCTCTTTTCCGTTTTCAATCGAATCACATATAATTCAACGAAAAAACAACTGCTTAAAAACTAATTTCTAAGTATGGCATAGAACTTAGACTTATTAGCATGGCTGATCTTAATCAGAATTTCTAACTGGGAATCTTCACTCCGGTATCCAAATTGCGAAACTGCAGAACGTTTTGTTTTTCGAACTATGTCATCTTCTTACAAATGTAAAAATATGTTTTTCTAAAAATTATAGAGAAAACAAGGAGATATTAGGAGGATCAAGGTCGTTTATTTTAATCAATGTTTCAAGATGCATTAAAGTCAACTTGTTAAAAATATAGTCAGGCTGATATGCGACAACTATCAAATGAGCTTTAATGATAGAATATGCATTAAAATATCCTGATGTTGAATTGGAATAAGATCCAACGCAGAGCTAAGAATCCATGATTGATTATCAGTCTCGCACATAAAGAATGCATATTTCATAAATTTTTTACCTTGCGTTTTCAAAAAACGCAATCCGAAAAGTTTGAAAGAATCCTTATTATGTGCTATACCATCTCAGAATGTAAGAGAATATATGTTGGTTATTAAATCATAAAGTCATTGTGACTTTCGAAGATATATAGACATTAAGCTCATTGATATAAAACTCAAGTTATAGAAATCTGGAGAAACTAAATGTTTCAGACAACTACTCTATATATTTTCTCTAAATTTAGAACAATTTGTTGATATTAAACGATCAATTTTCGGCAGGAAATAGCTTCTAGAGTAAAGTAAGAAACTTTATTTAGCAAGTTTCTTATTATTAATTACAAATGATAAAAGAAAATTGAATTTATCCTGAGAAAGCTATAATGTATTTTTCTCGATTGCCGAAAACGAGAGTTTGCGTTTAAGTAGAACGTACGGGAACAATTTGATAACCCTCGGCTAATAGTCGAACGGCTGCCGCTAATCCTATACACGCTATTACTGCGAGACACGCTCCAATAATAGTTGTAAAACCTTGTCGTTGTATTCGTTCATATTTTGACTGTGTTATTTTTTCAAGACATCCCACTACATTATATCTTGATGCTGGTTCATTTACTGATGCGCTAGTACCATTACCAATATCCATACATGTTCCCTCTGATGTACGATATTTTTCATTACAACAGCTAATAGGTAAGGAAACAGCAGCTTGGGTATTTCGTTGTGTTGTTGTTTGTGTTCGTCCTCTTGATCCTGATGCTGCACTTGGCCATTCTCCTCTCAACGCTTTAATATTGGTTGTTGGTGGACCTCTATAATCTTCCGTAGGATATATTAAGCCACAACACTCATACTGCTTTTCATATCTGGCCATTAAGTCGGTATTTTCAATGTTCACAGTCATATCTCGATTTAGATTGAATTTTGTTTGATCTAATTCTCTAATTAAAGTATTATTGATGGATATTGGCAATTTACCATTTGAAATTGATATAAATGAATATATACTAAGACATATTAAACCAATTGAACATAATGCCAATGAACACACACTGACAATTGCTAATACTTTACTTAGTTTAATTAGAGCTACGGCAAGAATAATCAATGTTATTGAGCACAATAAACCAAATAATATTAAGAGAGTTGACGTAATATGCAGTGGATAATGCCCCACATCAACGAAGTATTTTAATTTTGCTAATTGCAGTGAGCCTTGTACAAGTAATATAATACCGGTGGCAACTGAACTAAGAACAGCAACAGCAAGAGCGATTTGTAATAGATGACGTTTGACAGAAGATGTTGAAACAATCGAAACTGGACGTGTTTTCATTATTATAAACAATTTGTTTGTAGAAATCTCTAAATAATATCGAGAATACATCGGATAAGGAATGTTTAGGTGCTCTATAAAAGTGTTACTTTTACTTTTTATTATCCACGTTAATTTCTCAGATTTCCTATCGTCTCTGATAGACAAGAATATTACCCAAAAAAGAAAAGTCACTGTCTTCTTTCATCTGGTTTCTCAGGAAAAACATACATTCTCCTATAAAACGTAAAATTTACCTTGAAATCTTGCTAAGAATCAACAACAGTACAAAACCAACTGATCATTAAACAAGAAGAAAATTTTTGTGTGTATCAAATATAAAAGAAGAAACACTGATTGTTTTAAAGACTAACAAAAGAACCTTGATGAGACTTTGATTTGATTATTTTAATGAGTAACAGCAACTTTTCTTCACAAAAAAAAGTAAAATGATATATGAACACGTCAAATACAATGAACATTTGCTTTCATACATATACAATATAGAAACACACACAAACCAAACATAGGGAACTATTTACAAATCGTTTTTGTGTATACCATGTTAAATACAACATACTAAGATATAACCAACAAAAAGATAAATATATGACATACAATTGACTATTTGTGTAAATGCACATCCTTTCTTAAACTGACCTATTTCCATCAAAACGACAGTTAAATAGTAAATGACAGAGAGTAAGTCAGTCTCATGCAGTATGTGCTAAAAATGAGAAGTTTTCCTATTAGTAACGTCTATTGCTAAATATGTAATGTGCGATAACTTTGTTCTTTGAATAAAGCTGAAATTCAATACAAGATTACATTTAAATTTTTAAAATCATTTGAATCTGGTTAATATATCGTACAATGCGTCATATTTTCTTTTCGAATTTACACAGGACATCAGAATATTTATATACATACCGTTGTTAATTCGAAAAGACGGCTTCTCTGTTCTTATTTACAGTATATATTAAAATGGTTCCTGTAGATTCATAAAGGGATAATCCACAATCGAAATGTGCAGGGTATTCTAACCCTGAGACTGCAACGAACATCGTAGGGTAGGGTCAAGGATCTCGACTGTTTTGCAGCGTGGTAAGGACCAAAACTGGAAAAAAATTGTATTTAGCAAGCTTTGAGAAATACTATTTTTTTCTTTTAACCCTTTGGGGACGGGTGACGTTTTAAAACGTCATTAAAACGTCAAAAATCGGAATAAGTCGTGTTTTCCAAAACTTTCTTTTGAAGAAACGTCTCTCAAAACTAGATCATAATCAAATTTC